ACAGCGAAACCGACGAAATATCATTATTATCCGCACAATCAGCACATCTATCTGCTGCCCGAGTGTGCCATTCAGCAGGTCTGTAATGCCGTCTACGTGAGACTCAATTACACCCAACCACTGTGCGCCTGTCCATCAAGGTGAGTTACTAGATTGGGATACAACATATACCCACTGCCCACTTGTCACTCCCGCCACCAGGTTCTAATTAATCCTGCAAATCTAATCCTCTTCCAGATATCGTGATCCCTGCTCGGCCAGTCTGAATGAAGATGATCAGCATACCACAAAATTGGTTGGCGATAATAAGAAGAAGGTAAGCTCATTTCATACCAACCAAGTTACTTAGATAATTGCCTGGGGCCATGATTGGAGGAGGATCTATCTTGGGAACCGAAAGTGGAACTGGCAGATTCCGCATTTCTAGATCATTTCGGTTAGATCACTCTCGGTAGATCATTAGTTCAATGGTTAGTTACAGGTTCTCAATGGCACGACTCCGGTTCTCTGGGAAGTCGAAATCTTCTCGGGCTGACCACAATTATGATTTGATCTCTTTTTAAATGAATTAATGGAAGAAGGGATCAGTACAATTGGATCATTGGTTGTTTTGAAAACTAAGATCACCGACAAAAGACACGAATTTAATTTTCTGTAATTGTTTGGAATCCGGAAGATAATTTTATGAGGAAATAACTTTCAGATCGAATGAAAATTAGGTATGGGAAAGATTTTTCAGAAAGTATTTTGATTGGGAGAAAACAATTTAAAATCAATGAGATATTTGTGCATTAAGTTCAGAAGGTCAAATAAGTTGTTACATGTTTTTTAACTTTCTTAAGGTAAAGCTTGTTCGGAAATAAATTTTATATCTGAACCAAGTATAAAATAAAATATCTCAAAATCTTATACTTATCTTATAGGATTATGTAACTAATTTAAAAAATTAGAAAAATTGGAATCCTTTAATATCAATTATATAATAGAAATTTTGGAAAACCCGTTGACAGTTAACGTTTTTAAATACAGGAATTTCTGAGATTCGAATTTGTATGCGTTTTTTTAGAATGCCCAGTTAGCCAAGATAAAAACCCAAAACACACCTTACTACAAACGCCTAATAAGCCATAAAATTGAGTATCGTTTGAGTACTTAGAGAAGATGAGTGCTTTTGAGGAAAGCCACGCCCTGAAATCAATTGCAAATTTCGCAAAGCAGTGGTCAATTAATGAAAGACACGATGGCTGAAAGCTGGCCATATATCATTTGATCACTTGAGAATAACTTGCCCATCGCAAATTCATCGAAATTGCGCCTCATTTGTGGGCTGACCGAGTCGTAAAATTGATTTCTGAGTCCGCGGTGGTGCAGACTCCACTTTTGGCAGAGGAGGATCCACTCCCCAGATCCCAAATCCAACCGAAGGCACGACCGGGTCAGCTGGAAAATCACCTTCTACTCGCAGAACTGCGGTTTGCAATATTATTTGCTTTATTGCCTGGCCATGATCTGCTCCTTTTGGCCCGATTTCCGATTTTTCCTCTTCACTCTCCGCACATTTAATTGAGTTATAAATGCGAATGGCGTTGCTTGGAAAAATGTTCAAATAAATTAAATAATAAAAAGCATTTCTAATGGCTTAATGGTCGCGCACTGAGCGCACTGTGTGTGTGTGTAGAGTGTGTGGGCAGTGTCAGACATTGTCATAATTACACTTCACTGCACTTCACCTGACCGTTAAATGCAACACTTGCTGTTGGTTTTGCTATTTTCTGCTTTTGCCGGAACTGTACAGCAAATTATGAAAATGCGTTTAGCTGGAAAACAGAGAAACAAGAGCGGGGCGTTAGGAAAAACTGGAACAGCCCGGGCGGACCACATTAACCTGAATGCCAGCCAATGAAGCGGCAAGCGGAAAATGTATAGAAAAATTGTAAAAAAAAAATAAGAAAAAAAAGAAAAGATTTTACCCAATTGGCTGACATGCAAACGAGCGCCTCAAGAGTCAATCAAATTAACGTTCGGCGAACCACACTAACAGTAGCCCAGGCTGTGAATCAGTTAAAGGACAATCAAGGTGGCCAATTGAAAGCGTAGCAAAACGGCCAAAGTCAGGGCAATTTGGCCAGCAAAGTGTTTGAGCCAGCCCACCGGCTTCTAAAGTCTGGCATATCTCAAAATCAAAGCCCTGGGCGCTGCCTGCTCCTGTTTTTGCCTTCTTTTCTTTTAGTTTCTCACTAGCTCGTATTAAGTGACAGCTTGTCCATAGCGTTTAGCATGCTAGCTTTCAATTTAGAGTCATGATCGGGATCGAAATCGGGATCGGGGTAACTTTCTTTCCTGCCCGGTGGGCCAAAGTGAATGGCTAATGGGCGGACTATTAGGCCAGGTCTACAGTCTAGACAGACTGCACTAAAACAAAATACAGGCCATATAGAAGTTTTACTTTTTATGATAGTTAGTAATTCCTTATGAATAGCATACTATTTAAATAGTAATAAAAATTAAAAATAAAGTGATATTCAGTACTCAGTATATTTTAAACACTTTTTATGTGGGGTGTTTAGCTGGGAGAAGGTTTGATTGTCAGGTTTTATATATTTTTAGGGGATTTTTAATATACCTTTTTTCTAAAGTGCAGGATTTTTTTATACCCTTTATTTTTAAACTCCCTATTTTTGTATATTACTTGTTTAGGCCATCACGTTGGCCAAAACCTGCGAGGCCACCACCGAGATGCGCGAGTGCCGCTCACCCAAGGATTGGTCCCTTCTGGCGCTCCAAAACACACGAACCGGCAAGTCGCACTACCTGGTCATCTGTCGCTGTCCCGATCACTTCAAAATGGGTATGTGTATATAATACTTTGATAACTTCATTTCAATTACCGAAATATAGAGTTGAATTTTATTTGCAACCAAGGTGTGGGAACCAGGATTCAAAAGTAAACATAGCCATAAAAAAGTAACAATGAATATATTTACTAGTGATGTGGTTCGATATTAATAATTGTCTTATCTGAACAATACCAGAATTGCTCAATTTGTATTTTAATTAGTTTAATAAGATTCCCTACAAAAACAAACTAAAAAAGAAAGAAATATTTTTGAAAAGGCCGCAAGTTTAATTTTGACTTGATTTGAATTCCAAAAATATCTATTCCTTTTAAAACTTTTCCTTTTAGTCGATAGCATTGGGGTATTAGAGCAATTATTATTTATAGTACTATAGGTAAATGTCTTTAATGATGGTTTAACTATAAATATACCAACACAAGATATATGATGTTCTAGTACCCTATAGTATGTTCTTTATAAAACCCAAGATTCAGTTGTTCATTGAAGCGTTTGATTTTTTCAGAGGGACCCATGGCCCATGACCAGCCCACCTATGCCAGCGTGCCCGGAATCCGAGTGTTTGGCATGATGTGTGTAAAGCCGGGTTACTCGGTGCGTAAGCCCAGCAACCAGCCGCCGAAGAGGTACCAGCTGCAGAAGCCCTTCTACCGTCCGTCGGTGGGCACCACCCTGAGTGGTGGTCAGAAGGATAGCTACGGCAGACCCATCTACGGCGGAGGCATCTCCGCGGGCAGCTCGGCCATCAGTTCCAACTACCAGCCGCAGGATCAGAGCTTCCAGAGCGGAGGAAGCAGCTCGTATCAGTACCTCAACCGACCGGAGAGCAGTGGTAGCCACAGCTCCGCCAACTTCCGACCCGATCAGTTCTCGATCAACAATTTCCCGGGCAGCAACTATGGACGCAACAATGAGAGACGTGGTGATTTGCCGCCCATTGAGGCTATTTCGAGTGGATCGGGAACTGGAGGAAACGAGGAGCAGCCGGGCAGCAGTACTCCGGCGGCTGAGGAGGAGGCCAGGACCACACTGCAGGCGGAACAGGAGGCGGAACCGGCGGCTGCAGCGATTCCCGTGACGCCGGAACTGACCACCACGGCGGAGGAGGCCGTACTCGAAAGTCGTGCCCGGCGATCCCTGCCCGAAACGGACGACTACGAGCCGGAATTCCCATGGGATCGAGTCCTCGAGTTTCAGCAAAGCATCATTTGGGACTAAGTTCCGGGAATACCAACCAATCCTAGTAGATACAATTTCAATAGCACAAGGCGACATTTCCGGCGACTATACACTGTGCAAAAAACAACTGTGACTGAAGAAGTAACGATGAGAAAAGAGCGGAAGTAAATGGCTTCAAGAAAGCATAAAGTTCACGTCACGTAACGTCTAGCGTAGCGTAACGTAATTAGCTAAGCTTTTCTTAATTTAAATCATGTTTTTTAGGCATTTCCCCTGGCATTTCTTCCCAGTGTACCACACCACCCCCCTCCTAATTTATATATTTATACATACATGTATTTATTTACAAAACAATTTACGAATTAATTAAACAATTACACGTGCCCGGGCACGATCGCATTAATTGTTTAATTAATTTGTTTTGCATTTAAGCGTAAACAAGGCCTCAACTTTTTAAAATAATATTTAAAGATTTAAACGAATAGTTTAGGTGCAAAACTGGAAACTATTTTAAAAGGAAACGAGTAAACGAAAACGATAATTAAATACAAAAAACCAACACCGAAATTATTTAACCTAAATTTAGTTGCTTATTTATGTTTAGATCTAAGCTGCATTTACTAGTAGTTAAATAAAATACTATTTTAAAAATATGTGCTTTCTGGAAATTTTTTTTAATATTGAAGGCTGTTCACACAAGTTTCAAAACGTGAGTACAACCTACTTTTAAAATGATACGAAATAAATTTAATTTATAAAAACTTTTTCGGAACTAAAACAAAATGTTTTAAAAGTTTGTTTAAAATCTAAACAAAATCATAGAACATTTTTTTTACTTTTTGATTCTTTTAAAGTTTTTAATTAAAAAATTTGTTTTAATTTTTTTGTAAATCGTTAACATTTTAAGAGATTATTTTGCTTTTTAATAAAAATTACATTTTATATATAAAAATATAAGCCACTCACCTAACATTTCCGCATTGACCACAATATTACAGCTGTACATGGGTGTAACCAATCTTTGTGGCTGATTTTGGAAAGCCTGTCGACAAACCTCCTTGGCAGCAGTCAAAACTTGACCTGGAATATGTAGGGAAATTAATTAGATCAAGAATTTCTTAAAGAAAATATTATCAACCTACCCGAGAAAGGACCTCTTGAGTTCAAATCCTCTCCTTCCGTTTGAATGGACCACTCGAGAACCGCAAAACAAACGCCCTGCATGGGCTCCTCGCACAAAGGACCCGCCACGGAGGTCAGTTGGAAGCCATTCACCAGCGAACTATTAAAGTCCTTGCGCGGATCTGTCTTGGAACGAACATCTGTGTCCGACTTGGCATGACTTGACCAGAAGTCAGGCTGCTCGTAGTCACTAAGGTTGAGTAGAATATTGGTACCACAATTGCGGGGACCCAAAGCCCAGACTCGATTCACAAGCTCTTCGGTGGACAGTGTGCTTAACCCAAACAACTGTAGATCCTTCAGAGCTGTGATCAGTTTCACTTTGATGGTGGCCAGCAGGGTAGTCCACTTCTCCGAGAGCAATTGGTTTCGAGGAATGGCAGCCAGTTCCTGCGGGACAAGAAAAGATACTAATAAACTATTCACAAACATTTTGCTGTAGCAACTCTAACCTTGAAGAACTCCGCATGCTTTTCAAGCAATTCCACAGCTTCTGCTGGCAGGGGCACCGCTATGACCTTAAGAGTGCCCAATTTGTTGAGCGTCTGCTGCACGGCGATCTTCTTGCTCACATCCTTGTCCTCCGCCGTCTTTACAATTGCCTCATTAACCATATCCACTGTGGCAGCGGGCACAATAGTCTCACGGAAGGACACAATCGGTTTGGACACGTTCACCTTGATCTTGGCATAGCTCTGCTCCAAGTCGTGAACGCACTTCTCCACATGAACCTCGCCCAAGGTGGTGATCACATGCTCACCCGTGGGAGCCATCGACACCTGGACACACGCATCTGCTTGGTTCAGAAGCTTCAAACCTTTCACCAATTTGGGCATGTCCTGCGGTTGAACCGGTTCAATGGCCACGCGGAGAATAGGAGTGGCCATAATGCTTAGTTCGCTGAAGGAGGTGCAATCCAAACTGCTACTTAAGGTAGCTGTTTTGACAATGTGTGATTCCAGACCACCGATTCCCACGATATTTCCCGCAGGCACTTCATCCAGGAGTTGGAGCTCACCTCCCATGAACATGTAAAGATCTCCGATGGTCACACGACTGGCATAGGGGGCTTCATTCTCCTTACGATGCGTCGGCTGGCGAGGATCGTGTTTGGGCGTCAGATTAAACAACTCCATACCGCGCTTCAAGGTGCCGCTAAACACTCTGGCAAAGGCAATGAATACAAACTCGTTGGGCTCTCCCGCCTCCGGTTGGGGTTCCTCAGTTTTTGGGACCTCCACCTGGGTGCTTAGCTGTTCCACGCCCTGGCTGATCTTCTCCAGCTCCGCTTGCTCACTTTGTAGCTTCCTTTCTTCAATGCGACGACGCACCTCATCCCTGCGCTGTTGCACTTCCTGATCCGTAAGTCTCTTGGGTCGATTCTGGGGCAAATGGGTTACATGCACTGGTGTCATTTTGGACACAAAAGCAATGACATCCGAACTATCCGCATCGCAAATGGTAAAGCTCTCCTTGAGTTTCAGGGTTTCCGGCGGCAAGGAACTCAAGTCCACATTCGCTGGATAAAGCAATCTCTGGGCCCTCTCCTCGCTGATTTTGTGAGGCGGCGGAACGTGCTCAACAACCATGTGGAGGACACTCCTGTCAATGGGTAGCCACTGCCCAAGCACAGCCTTGATCTGCAGCTTGGGGTCGGTGAGACGCAAATCCCTGGCGGCCAGTTTAAGACCCAGTTTCTCGGCTATTCCAGGCAGCTTATCCTTATCCTTCCTAATGGCTATGATGTCGTAGAGGCTCCATATGTTTTCCAGCACGAATTGGACAAACATGGGTTTCTTCGCCTTCTCCTGGGCTCCCGGCAATGCTTCCTTCTTCTTGGAATTGTAGTAGAAGTCGCCCCACAGAACCTGTTCAAGATCTTTTCTCTTGATCTCCAAACGCTTGGCGTACATGGCGGCAAAGTCTCGGACGGAGAAGGCCCAGCCATCGTAGGCGGAACAGAAGATGACGTTGCCGGAGCTGGGTGAGAAATATAGCTCCGAGTCATCCACTTCCTCCAAAGCGGACTCGTAGTTGTCCTTATTGGTAATATCCTCTCTGGCCAAAATATCGGAAGCAAAAATGCTGCCCAAGACGGCGTTGACTTGCTCCAGGACTTGGGTTAAATGGAAGTACGCGTCGAGGGGATCCATCTGCTTCTCCAGGATCAGACGGTCCAGTTTGTTGAGCACCAAGACGGGCTTCAGTTGCTCCTCGTAGATTTGCTTTAGACAGGCGCGAGTTTGAGGACCCACGCCTTCGACCACATCCACCACGACAATGGCACCGTCACATAGGCGCACTGCCGTGGAAACCTCGCTGGAAAAGTCCACGTGACCGGGAGAATCAATCAGATTGATGAGGTAGTCCGGATTACCGGCCATTTCCTCCGCCTCCTGGTAGTACAACGAGATGCTGCTGCTCTTCATCGTGATGCCACGCTCCTGCTCGTCCGCCCGATTGTCCAGGTAGCGCAGTTTGCCCGCCATCCGCTGCGAAATGATGCCATTGCTGGCCACCAGGGAATCCGCCAGAGTCGTCTTGCCGTGATCCACATGCGCCAGGATGCAGATGTTGCGCACCTGTTGACGACGTCGCTGCAGCTGGACCAGATCGCTGCCCTCAACCACGGGCATCCTGAATCGTTTGTGGGCGTAACTTCCTTCCGATTGTCAGAACTATTTCAACTGGGAATTTCGCCAATTGGTCCAATTGTATTTATAAACAAAACCGCACGCGGCAAAACAACCGTAATTTCGCAATTTGGTGTGACCAGCTGCAGGAACTTTAAAATTAACAGGTATGTTAACTAGCAGATGTTGGCCAACTGTTAATAAAGGCTGTAAGCTTAACTTTTTTAAAGCCAAACATAGCTGTTTTTATTTTATTAGTTCTTGTTAAAACGTTTTATGAAGAAATAAATATATATTCTACCCAACTAAGCGCTAAGCTGAGCGCAATTTTAATTTTCAATTTTTGAAAACGGCTTCAAAGGCTGTTTTATATTTGTAATGAACATATTTAATTTGTATGTTTGGTAAAAAACTACATAGCAATTATTAAATATCTTAGACTTTTTTATAGCTATTTTTACATTTACATGTCTCTGCTGTTAAAAAGCGCTGTTAACAGACACTGTTAAATCCAAAACAGCTGATCACCACGCATGCAGTTGTGCTCTTCCTCTTCCCCCGCAACAATTTCGTGATTTCGCACGCGAATCCCTCATAAAATTGCTTAAAAATGGTCGGAATAACGCCCGAAGAGAAGAAAACGCTCATTACGCGCAATCTGCAGGAGACCCTCGGCGATGACAAGCTGACCAAGATCCTGGCGGAGCGGGATCTGAAGATCTACTGGGGAACGGCGACGACGGGCAAGCCACATGTCGCCTACTTCGTGCCCATGTCGAAGATTGCCGATTTCCTGAAGGCAGGATGCGAGGTGACGATCCTGTTTGCCGACCTCCATGCCTATCTGGACAACATGAAGGCGCCCTGGTCCCTGCTGGAGCTGCGCACTCAGTACTACGAGCAGGTCATCAAGGCCATGCTGAGTTCCATTGGCGTGCCACTGGAGAAGCTGAAGTTCGTCAAGGGCAGCGACTATCAGTTGTCCAAGGAATACACCCTGGATGTCTACAAACTAAGCTCCGTGGTCACGCAGCACGATGCAAAGAAGGCGGGCGCCGAGGTGGTCAAACAGGTGGAGTACCCCCTGCTCTCTGGACTGCTCTACCCCGGCCTGCAGGCCCTGGACGAGGAGTACCTCAAGGTGGACGCCCAGTTCGGTGGCGTAGACCAGCGCAAGATCTTCACCTTCTCGGAGAAGTACCTGCCGCAGTTGGGCTACGAGAAACGCATCCACTTCATGAATCCCATGGGTGAGTCATCGATTGGCTTTATAAAAGGTGCAGCTTTTATTCGCTTTATACATTTTTAGTGCCCGGTCTGGCTGGTGGCAAGATGTCCTCGTCCGAGGAGGACTCTAAGATCGACCTTCTGGACTCCCCGGCCAACGTGAAGAAGAAGCTGAAGAAGGCCTTCTGTGAGCCCGGAAACATTGCCGACAATGGTCTGCTGTCCTTCGTCAAACACGTCCTGTTCTCGCTCTTCAAGGAGGGTGAAGGATTCGAGGTCAACCGGGAGGCGGAACACGGTGGGGATGCTATCTTCCTGAAGTACGAAGATCTGGAGAAGTACTATGCAGAGGACAAACTGCATCCGGGTGACCTGAAGGCCACCGTGGAGAAGTACATCAATCGACTGCTGGATCCCATTCGCAAGGCCTTCGAGAAGCCAGAACTGCAGTATGTAATCTATAAGGGATTAAGTGGAATTGGATATTGACTGATTACTTTTAGAAAACTGAGTGCTGCTGCTTATCCACCACCTGCCAAGGTAAAAGCAGGAGCTGCTGCACCGGCTGCTGGGGCTGACGAAGATGCTCCCCATCGTCTGGATATCCGAGTGGGCAAGGTCGTGGAGGTGGCCCGTCATCCGGATGCCGATACCCTTTATGTACTGAAGATTGACCTGGCTGAGGAGCAGCCCAGAACCATTATTAGTGGCCTGGTGAAGTTCGTCACCCAGGAGGAGCTGGAACAGCGACTGGTGGCGGTTCTTTGCAACCTGAAGCCCTCCAAGATGCGTGGCATTTTGTCCGAGGGAATGGTTTTGTGCACCTCAAAGTGGGTTACATTTATCAGCAATCTCTAAACTAGTTAATTATATTTTTTATTGATCTTCAACAGCGCTGATCACACAGTTGTGGAACCGATTGTTTTGCCAGCAACAGCTACTCCCGGCAGCCGCCTCTCCTTCGAGGGATTCAGTGGCACGCCCGACGAGCAACTTAATCCCAAGAAGAAGGTGTGGGAGAAGCTATCCGCAGACTTCAAAACCAACAGTGATGGATTGGCCGTGTGGAAGGACAACTTCCTGCTGACCCCCGAGGGCGAGAAGCTGTCTAGCAAGCTGGCCAACTGCTCTATTAAATAGAACTTCGAATGCCAGCCTACCTGAGCCGTGTAATACTTACAACTAAGCCGAATGTTCACAAAAAAAACTGCTGCTAATTTATTGATTCCCCTTTGTAAACAATATGCATTTTGTTAAATAAAGCGCTCAAAAATATATGTTGTTGTTGGGCTAATATTTTGAAGTAGCGGTGATCTTAAACCAATATTGCAAAGTTGTTCATATTTTGCAAAGAAGCTAAAAAATATAAAATATTTTCATTTCAATTTTCGAATCATGGCGCCATCTCTTCCTCTTACTCCTCACATTCACTGTTACGTCTCTCTTAACTCTAACAGCCAGTTAACAGCGCTGTTTTCGATCAGCTGTTTCATGTAAACAAAAACCGGCGAAAGAAATTTAACTAATTTCAACCAATCCTCAAAGAAATGTTGAAGATTAACCGGCGATTCCTGCTGCAGCAGTGCCTCCGCCACGCCCACAACCAGGTGCGCGTTCGCTTCGCCCCCAGTCCCACGGGTCACCTGCATTTGGGCGGACTGCGCACAGCTCTCTACAATTTTCTGTACGCCAGGCATTTCGGCGGAAAATTTCTGCTCCGGATCGAGGATACGGATCAGACGCGACTGGTGCCTGGTGCCAGTGAACGCCTGGTGGAGGATCTGCTCTGGGCGGGCATAGAAATTGACGAGGGACCCGGTTTTGGCGGTCAACTGGGACCCTATGTTCAGAGTCATCGAAAGGAGATTTACAGGTGACTAATGGATAACTTGTGCTAGCCAATTGGACTATAATATATTCCTTCTCCTTACCAGTAAAGCCATAGAGGAACTCCTGCAGAACGGAACCGCCTACAGGTGTTTCTGCACCGAACGCCGTCTGGATTTGTTGCGTAAGGAGGCGCTGAGAACCCGGCAAGTTCCACGCTATGATAACAAGTGCCGTCATCTCACTGAGACGGAAATCGATTCCCTCCTGGCCAAGGGTACGCCCCACTGCATCCGTTTCAAGCTGACAGACCACGAGGAACCACTGGAGGATCTCATTTACGGCAAGGTGCACCACAATGTCAGCGATACCGAGGGTGATCCAGTCATCATGAAGAGCGATCAGTTCCCCACATATCACTTTGCCAACGTGGTGGACGACCACCTTATGGGCATCACCCATGTCCTGAGGGGAGTGGAGTGGCAGATATCCACCACCAAGCATTTGCTGCTCTACAAGTGGGTTTAATTACACTTTTCGTTATATTTTCTGTACTAAAATATGTGCATTCCCGCAGAGCTTTTGGCTGGCAGGCACCTAAATTCGGCCACCTGCCGCTTCTCGTAAATGCCGATGGCACCAAGCTGAGCAAACGCCAAGGAGACATTGGCATCCAGCACTTCCGGGAACGGGGCTACTTTCCCCTATCCCTTGTTAACTATGTGGTTTCTGCTGGCGGTGGATTCGAGCATAAAGCCAATGCCAAGCAGCAGTTGCTCAGCATGCAGAATCTCTATGAGCAGTTCCACATAGAGCGAGTAAACTCGCATCCCAGTCGCCTTAATCCCGAATTGCTGGATGATTTCAATCGTCTGGAGATGGCAGAACGTTTGTCGGCTGATGAAAGCCGTTTGAAATTGGTCAAACAAGTTCAAGAGCTGGTGAAGAAGGCCTATCCACAGCAGTAAGTTGGAAGTAGAACTACACCAACACATTACAACACATTACAATATTTTAGTTCCAACTTGGATCTAGCTGAGGACCACATAGTGGATGTGCTGAACTGGTCCTCACAGCGTTTAACACTGCTCCAAGATTTGACCAGCAGCAAATTGAGTTTCCTGTGGGTGAAGCCATCGGAATTCAAACTTAAGGACCTGAAAGCAGAGCAATTAGATAACATACTCACATTACTGAAAGCCATCCCAGACTTCCACAAAGATGAACTCAACATTAAGCTGAAAAACTTTGCTCAACAAGAACACATCAAATTCCCGCTTATGATGAAAACCTTAAGGGCCGCCCTGAGTGGCTTAAAAGAGGGTCCTGGCGTGGCGGAAATGATGGAGATCCTAGGCAAATCGGTAACCCTTGAACGACTCAAAGAAGCTCTGCCCCAGGAAAGAGTCAATTTAGAGCAAAACCAATAATTTGGTTAAGTTTTGTTATATTTTGTATATAGAATTTAAGTATAGATTATTTTTTATATTTATATATTGATAACTGTTGCAATTTGAGAATAAGATCAATGAGTAGACACCACAATAAGAGTCAAAATTATGTATGATTAATCTTCCTCCGTTTCAGAAACTAATTTCTCGTCGTTCCATTTTGGCATTCTCGTTTTGCTCGGTTAAGCACCATTCCTAGACAATAATACACTAAATAATTAAATCGCTTAACTAAAGTCGCGATTGGTAAGTATAATGGGCGCAGCAAGGCTCCAGCCATAGATGAAGACACCCAGCCAGCTGGAGACGATCTTGACCCACATGGAAGCCTCGTTGCCGTTGAAGAGCTCGATTTCCGAGTGAGGTCTAAGGAGATAAACCGGGAAATGTGATAAAGCTTGGCTTTCTATAATGGATTAGCGTATTCTACTCACTTGTACCAGTTGGTCAGGGTCATCATAACGTACAAAGAGGCGCAGACGAAGACCACGTGGAACATTGACCAGGAATAGGTGACGCCCTCGGTCTCGGTGTCCGTGCTCGGCTTTCCATTGGCATCCGTGCCGGCCTCTGTGTCTGATAGAGCTTCTGTTAAAACTACATTAATCAGAGTGCAAAGAGGGACGCCAGGTGGCCATATTTTTCACACAGTTTCAAATACCAAGTAACCGAGTGGATTAGTTTGGTTAGTCGGAAAAAAATAAAAGAAAAAATAAAGCGGCAATAGCAAACGAGGGTTAATAACCAGTATTAGCTTGGGGTTTTCATTGTTTGTACAGCGAGGAAAATGAAAAGTGAGGGCGATTGAATGCGTGATGGAAACTGTGGAAATGTGGTAATGGCTGGGAATGCGGACGGAGCACTGGGGAATGGAAACGAAGCACCTACCACGCTTCTCGCTATTATCTTGGGTGATCTTTGAGACCTCCACCGCCGAACTGATGCAATTGTACAGGATGCACAGGAGCCAAACAACCAGACCGATAATGTTGGTGGTGTCAAAAGTAACCCTGGTGGTGTGGGTGGGTGGAGCCACAGTGGTGGTTGCGTTGCCGAATCCCTCCATCATGCCAAACATGCCAGGATTGCATTCTTTTTCTGTGGGAGTCAAAAAATTATACATTTATATACTTTTTGAAGTAAGTTTCTCCTACCCGGATTGTTGGCCACTGCGGACCATGTCAGATAAACCGTGTATAAGGTAACCAAAGAGCTCTGCAACAAACCCGAATGGGGCAAACGCTCCTGCACAGCCGGCAGAACCGAAATGACGCTGATCACCAAACAGAAAATTAGATTGATGGAGATAAAGAACTTGTTGATGCCGCAGCCAGTGCTCTAAAAATACAAATATTTCTCGAAAACATGATTAAATAAGCTTAACGGCCTTCACTCACAGTGGTAAAGTAGATATAAAGCAGGGTAATCCCAGTCAGCGATAAGATATAGCCCAAAAGAGTAACCCCAGCCAGGGCGTAATAGTATCCACGACTATTTTCAGCGCTTTCTGAAGGAAGAATTCAAAAATGATCCATGTGAATCATTAAAAGAACTGAGATAAACATGACTCACCTATCCAGTTCTCCGCCAGCGAGTGAGCGAAATCCACAATGATGACCAGCTGCACGAGTATGAAGGCCAGGCCACCTATTAGACCCACCCACATCATTGCCGGGCCAAAAGATCCATCTGGAATGAAGATTGCTCCAATCGCAGCGCCAAAGCAGATCAGGAATTTGAGGGGCCAAAAGTTGTTCTGGATGTGGGATCGCGGGTCTCTAGAGCTCTTCACACCCAGCATAATGAGGGACATCAGGGCGAAGAAGCATGCCATGCCAAAGCAAATCCTGTAGACAGCCATATAGCCCAGAGCGTACTCGCAGTCGACTTGCAGAGAGCCTCCCGAAACGGCGCTCAGTGCCCCGGAGCTGTACGAGGAAGTGGAGTTGATGCAGAAGGGCATCTTCTTCAGGGTATCCTGCAGACCCGGAGACAGGGCAATCGCTCCCAGAACAGTGCCCACCAGCAGGATAAAGGCGTACATGAAGCGCGAGGAGGAGGCGTTGGTGCAGCTGGGGCAGGCGGAACAACACATGCTAGCTGCAGTGCCTCCGCAGCACATTGCGCACTGGAAATGTAAAGAATATTCTTATTAAAAACAATTCCATTTCATAATAATCATTGATTTTTAATTAAATTATAATCGATAAAAACTATGTTTATAAAAGCGGGTAATGTTTAACTATGGTACACTATAGAACAACAGACCAGAAATCTGGAGTTTGATCCAATTGTGATTTACAATATTGTATTTATATTACATTTTCTAGAATACATCGTTTATTTAATCCCTAATTGAATGACACATCTTTTGCTTAAAACCATTGTTGCCATTAAAACTTGTGTTCTCAAATGGAAACTGATGATGATCTGTTTCACAGGGTACTGGAACCCTTCAGCGAATCATCATATACATCTTATAATTAAACATTTTTATAAAGAGGCTCCCTCGATTGGGAAATTCTTGAAAACATATGGCTAGCCCTTATTGATTTGTAGCCAAGTTAAAAATTTCGGATGGAAATTACTCGGTAAAATCGCTAGCTATATGCAATGCATTTTCTTACCTGAGCGGCCGAACAGAGGCCCAATACAGCTCCCATTTTTGTCGCCGAGAAGTAATTGCGTTTTTAATAAACGAAGTTAAAAATCTTTTTGTTTGAGAAAATGTTAGGGATGTGTATCTCTTTATAATATCAATTTATCGATGATATATCTGTAATATAGAAAGGCGATGATTTTCCCCAGCTCTAATGTATCGATTCGTTGATAACGATACCTCACACAGCTGAAGCAAAACAGCTGACGGAAACCGATGAAGGACGATTTAATTTTTCTGCTAAACAAATTGATTACAAAGCGAAACTAAATACCATTTCAACCATTAATGCTAGCTAGTGTGATCTTTTCAGCGTCAAATGATTTCTTTATTGCTATTCGTAAATTGATTAAGGTCGCTGATTAAAGTCGCTGAAAAGGCAGAAATCTGTCTGAACAGGGTACATTTTACAAGTACGTCGAGGACGGAAAGTAAACAATTTCACTCCCACAAAGTCCATTTCAGCTGGATAAAGAACATGTGAGTAAAATAGTAAATAAATTTGATAATTTGTTTAATCTTTCAAGTAATTTTCATTTATCAGTGCGATGGAGTCGTCTGTATGCCGTGTTTGCCAGGTCAACAAACCTGAGAAAGGTTTCCGATTTCCAGAACCCATTTGCGCGTCCTGCCTGCAGGATAAATTAAATGCATTTCTCGATGAAGATATGTTTCTAGAATCGGACAGCGAAAGTGAGAATTCAAACCTTGAGGAAGGATCTCTTGTAGGTGAAAATTTGGAGGAGAAACCACAAAGTGAACAGAAAAAAGTGAAAAACGGGCCACTTAAGGAGGAAGACATAAAGGAAGAGCATTACCCTATTTCAAACTCCAACATTAATCAAGAAAATGATGATTATATCATTGATATAGATCTGGAAAACACAGAAGACCAACCTTACACGTGCCCACAATGCCATAAGTCCTTTGTCCAGAGCATAAGTCTTCAGGCACATCTGCAAACCCACGCAAAAAAAAGAGAGTGCTTCCAATGCTCAAAGACTTTCACAACTGATGTTAAACTTAAGTCGCATTTCTTACACGTGCACTCAGACGAACGCCCATTTAAGTGTACCGTCTGCCCAAAAGACTATAGACTGCGAAGCAAACTCCACAGGCATTTGAGGGTACACACAGGAGTTCGACCATTCAAGTGCACCCACTGCTCGAGGACCTTTACACAGGGTCAATATCTAAAGGCACATATACGAACTCATACCGGCGAACGACCCTACAAGTGTCCCCTATGTACCTCTTGTTTTGCACAAGCATCATCTCTTCGATCACATGTTCGAATACATACCACCTAGTGTTTCAAATGTTCATGCTCCCACAGCTTGCATCTCTTGCTAAGCCACACAGTAGAAAGCCTTCGCATCTTAGCTGGAACTCGGATGACGCGGAAAGAGCAATAGAGTCTCAGCCTCGAACGTCATCTATAAATATTTCCGTAGTACAAATTTCGTACAGACTAATAAAAGAGTATTAATAAAATAGTACATAAGCACATTATTTTTTACTTACTGGTACTGGTACCCTCAGTATAATGAATATTCCCGATGGGAACAAGGGGATCCGGATCCACGTTTGAGGGTTCACTCCGTGAGCAAAATAGGAGTGGTCCTGTGTGACGTCGCTCTCAATGTTTTTCTCTCCAAATATATCTCGTTAACTTATTAATCTAATTGCAATTTTAGTGCACTTAGTATAACGCAAGTTACAAATTTTATTGTAGAATATTAGGGAATTAAGCCCCAAAGTTATAGAGGTATCCCACGTCTGAATCGGAATCCATAGAGAATTAAAGTACAAACTCATTGAGGTATTCTACGTCTTAATCGTAATCAAATAGCTTATGTTTTTGAATCTAGAAGTGCTATTTTTGGGTTCCCATTTTAGCAACCATTGCAATTACGGAAAAATCAGACATGAAAATGGGTTCTCTTTTAAAAGAAATCTTTGAATGTAGAATATTAGGCGATTCCACCACAAATTTATAGAAGTCTCACGTCCAAATCGGGATCCAATTACCCAAGTTATGAAATCTGGAAATGCAGTTTTGGGTTGCCATTCTGAAACCATGGGAATTACGGAAAAATCGTACATGAAAATGGGTCAAAAATGTGACCCTCTTTTGAAAGAAATCTTTCAATGTAGAATTTAAGGGAATTACACTACAAATTCATAGAGGTATCTGGCGTCCAAATCGGGATCCAATTACCCAAGTTATGGAACTTAGAAGTGCTGTTTTTGGTTCCCATTCTGAAAACCTTTGGAATTACGAAAAAGTCGTACATGAAAATGGGTCAAAAATGTGACCCTCTTTTGAAAGAAATGTTTAAATGTAGAATTTTAGGAAATTCCACTACAAATTCAAAGAGGTATCTCACGTCTAAATCGGGATCCAGTTACCCAGGCTATGGAATCTGGATGTGCAGTTTTGGGTTCCTATTCTGAAAACCATTGGAATTACGGAAAAATCTTACATGAAAATGTGTCAAAAATGTGACCCTCTTTTGAAAGAAATGTTTAAATGTAGAATTTTAGGAAATTCCACTACAAATTCAAAGAGGTATCTCACGTCTAAATGGAAAAATCGGACATGAAAATGGGTCAAAAATGTGACCCTCTTTTGAAAGAAATCTTTAAATGTAGAATTTAAGGGAATTCCACTACAAATTCAAAGATGTATCTCACGTCTAAATCGGGATCCAATTACCAAAGCTATGGAATCTGGATGTGAAGTTTTGGGTTCCTATTCTGAAAACCATTGGAATTACGGAAAAATCGTACATGAAAATATGTCAAAAATGTGACCCTCTTTTGAGAAAAATGTTTAAATGTAGAATTTTAGGAAATTCCACTACAAATTCATAGAGGTATCTGGCATCCAAATCGGGATCCTATTACCCAAGTTATGGAATCTAGAAGTGCTGTTTTGGGTTCCTATTCTGAAAACCTTTGGAATTACGAAAAAGTCGAACATGAAAATGGGTTAAAATTTTGACTTTCGTAAATAAGAACACTTTTAATGTATATCATTAGAGAATTTAAATACAAAATCAAAGAGGTATCCCACGTTTAAATCGGGATCCAATTACCCAAGCTATGGAATCTGGATGTGCAGTTTTGGGTTCCTATTCTAAAAACCATTGATATTACGGAAAAACCGGACATGAAAATGGGTCAAAAATGTGACCCTCTTTTGAAAGAAATCTTTAAATGTAGAATTTAAGGGAATTCCACTACAAATTCAAAGATGTATCTCACGTCTAAATCGGGATCCAATTACCAAAGCTATGGAATCTGGATGTGAAGTTTTGGGTTCCTATTCTGAAAACCATTGGAATTACGGAAAAATCGTACATGAAAATATGTCAAAAATGTGACCCTCTTTTGAAAAAAATGTTTAAATGTAGAATTTTAGGAAATTCCTCTACAAATTCATAGAGGTATCTGGCGTCCAAATCGGGATCCTATTACCCAAGTTATGGAATCTAGAAGTGCTGTTTTGGGTTCCTATTCTGAAACCTTTGGAATTACGGAAAAATCGTACATGAAAATGGGTCAAAAATGTGACCCTCTTTTGAAAGAAATCCTTCAATGTAGAATTTAAGGGAATTCCACTACAAATTCATACAGGTATCTGGCGTCCAAATCGGGATCCTATTACCCAAGTTATGGAATCTAGAAGTGCTGTTTTGGGTTCCTATTCTGAAAATCTTTGGAATTACGGAAAAATCGTACATGAAAATATGTCAAAAATGTGACCCTCTTTTGAAAAAAATGTTTAAATGTAGAATTTTAGGAAATTCCTCTACAAATTCATAGAGGTATCTGGCGTCCGAATCGGGATCCTATTACCCAAGTTATGGAATCTAGAAGTGCTGTTTTGGGTTCCTATTCTGAAAACCTTTGGAATTACGAAAAAGTCGAACATGAAAATGGGTTAAAATTTTGACCCTCGTAAATAAGAACACTTTTAATGTATATCATTAGAGAATTTAAATACAAAGTCAAAGAGGTATCCCACGTTTAAATCGGGATCCAATTACCCAAGCTATGGAATCTGGATGTGCAGTTTTGAGTTCCTATTCTAAAAATGACATGAAAATGTGTCAAAAATGTGATCCTCTTTTGAAAGAAATCTTTAAATGTAGAATTTTAGGGAATCCCACCACAAATTCATAGAGGTATCTGGCGTCCAAATCGGGATCCAATTACCCAAGTTATGGAATCCAGAAGTACAGTTTTGGGTTCCTACTCTGAAAACCTTTGGAATTACGTAAAAGTCGGACATGAAAATATGTCAAAAATGTGACCGTCTTTTGAAAGAAATCTTTGAATGTAGAATATTAGGGAATTCCACCACAAATTCAAAGAGGTATCTGGCGTCCAAATCGGGATCTAATTACCCAAGTTATGGAATCTAGAAGTGCAGTTTTGGGTTCCTATTCTGAAAACCTTTGGAAGTTCGGAAAAATCGGACATGAATGTCGCAGTGGGCCCTCGAGAAGGCGGAGCGCTATCCGGGAAGTTCTAAAACGTCGCATCCGCCTCGACGAAGGTTGCGCGTTCGACCTCTCCGCCGTCAACATGGACCAGTTGGAGGTCATGAAGGAGAAGTGATGGAAAGTGATCCGCATCTTGCCAGAGAATGCTTCAGCGGAGCACAAAAAAAAGCATGCCTACCCTCAGCTACCATGTAGTGTGCTTACATTTTTTTTTGCTTGCTAACGGATTAACGCGGCCTTTCAACTTCCAATCGCGGTGATAGCGTGTCGAGCTACCGAACTTATAAATCGCCTTCTGAAGACCTAACCAGTGCTCCAAATGGAGTTTCTGCGGATTCGGTCGAAGAGGACACCGGCAGTGCGATTCACCGTTTTACGTCCCACGTCCTGTTCCGTGTCGCCTGTTTCGTCCGGGTCGACCACCGCGTCAGCACCACACTCCTCGCCCGCATCCGGGAGTCCACAGATGCCAAAAGTGCTTTAAGGTCTTTCCGAGTATTAACAAAGCGACCCATTGCCCGTGCAGGCCCCAGGAGCTGCGAGTTCGGTGCCCGGACTGCAATTTTAAGTGCCGGATTGCAAGTCTTCGACGCCGGGCTTGGAGACCGTTACGGAGGCCACAAAGAGGCAGTTGGCCTACGCCCTCGTATACGGCTGCATTTTTTGCGGCAAGAAATTTTGCTAAATATCAGCAACCCAGGGCACGTGACGACGGCCAGAGGTTAATAACGAACGCTCTGACCGAAATCGAAATGATTTTTCTTTTCATCGCGGCGGACAGGGATTTCATTATTCACAAATCCCCTCCGCTACTTGTGCCCGATTTGCCTGACAGTTAAAAATTTATTATCATCATCAAAGTCGGGCGGCTTAGGTTCCACTAAATTATTTAGGAGTCCACGCAAGAAAAGTAACCGATGTTGTGTTAAAAACAAACAATACACTCCGGGTGCAATGAAATCAAAACAATCAAGTTTCGTCAAAACTATTAGCAACCAAATAACAACCACAAATTCAATAGCGAGTGAGGGGCTTGACTTATTAAATCACAGCATCTGCTCTGCTGATGAAAAAACCAGCACCGAAATAAAGCAATATACAGAAATACTAGACATTTCAAAAGATTCTGCAGCTCAAAAATGTGAGTGGAGACCCTCAAAGGCACATACAAAACGAAAAAAAAACATGTAAAATATATGTTACAATCCAAACAAGAATCCAGCAATTAAATTATGATCCTATTACATTTTTTTTTAAAACACAATGATAAGTACATAGTTGGGAAAAGAAGAAGCACAGTCCTGTAATAATTGAACGCTATCCATTGCTCTTTTGAAAACCGAAACGAAGTTTTAAAAAAAACTCAAGTGCTGGAAATCTTTCATGAAGATGCGAGACTCAATCAGCACAACTATTAGCAATTTTCCACGAGAGAATTTTTAAAAAGGAATTTTATAACTGCACCAACCAGCCCAATATCCAAAACAGGAAACTGAGGACCATTGGAAACCAAATCCAAAGAGCTTGATCCATGTGACCTAATCCAACACTCCAACTGTGCCTGGGCATGAATGAAAAACCATCAGTTACAGGGCTGAATTTTTCGTGATATCGATATTGAGCAATCGAAACTGGTTCATGTGGAACAAATATCGCATTCCTAACTAAAAGTAGGAATTCTTTTTTATCGGGAATGAAAAAAGCGGCAAAAAAAACTGTATGGCAACGCTGTTTTAGGAAGTTATTTTCAAAAGGCAATGAAAATAGCGAAAAAAAACTGTGTGACAACGCTGAACGAGGAAAATAATTCAAAAAGCGAATACAAAAGAGTGCGCTTGCAATGGATTTGAAGAAGCTAACTATGTTTAAAAACGGGAGCGCCAATTTGCAGGCGGCAATCGGTGACGTCGCTGATCGCAAGGGGACCTTAAGAAAGGGTCTTTTTTTATGACCAGCCCGTTCAAATCAATTTTAAACAACCCGCG